CAGACTATGTTCGAATAGGGTTTATTTCGGAGTAGGGTTTATTTCTATCTTAGATATGTAGGGTTTACCATAATATATGTAGAATCATAACACAATTGGCTCAATTAGAATCATAACTCTTTAGTGTAAAGAAAAATTAGGGTTTGTAATCAAATTTTGGGGTATCGAAAATTAGGGTTTACCGTAATCTCTTTCTGCTCTTTTTCCTCCTTCTGCGCTACGCAATAGCGAAGAAGAAAAGATGTTTAGTAGAGCTAAACAAAAAAATCATAACTCTTTAGTTTAAAGAAAAATTAGGGTTTGTAATCAAATTTTGGGGTATCGAAAATTAGGGTTTACCGTAATCTCTTTCTGCTCTTTTTCCTCCCTCTGCGCTACGCAATAGCTTCTAAACGCGTTCCAAAATCTTATCGTTTTTCTTTGCTTTCAAATTAGGTTGCCGATTTGCAGAACAAATGTGTAGTGTGCGTACGATTGAGGAGCTGAAAAGCATGAAATAGTTAATTTCGGGTCGGGTCAAAAAAGGGGGAAAACTGAAATAGTTAAATTCGGGGCGGGTCAAAAAAGGGGGGAAATCGTTAAACGGTTGTGAGACGTAATTAGATTCTTTCGACAATAGCTTTCGAAGAATAGGGGTAATTTGGGAATCTCACATGCTAATTTTTCGTGCTTTTCAGTGATGGTAGATAGAGGGTAGTCTCATAATATCAAACTTTTTTTGGACATTTTTATAAGAGAAACCTTCCCACAAAAGATGTACTCCAAAAAAAGGCAAAGATATACGGTACATATTCCAATTTGTGTGTTTCATACTAGTGTTTTGTAGAGTTTTAGCATGTTGTGTTTTAAAGAGTAAAAACGTCAATGGAGTGTTTCTATTATTTTTTATTTTCTTCTAAAAATTTTACACCTAAATAAATCCAGTTCAATCTTTATATATTTATTTTTAATATAAATAATATGGAATATTATTTTATTGAGAAATTTGATCTTTTAATTTACATGATACTAAACTACTACAACAACAATTCAGTTGAATCTTACAAAAGAGTAGGATCTAGAGAAAGAGTGTGTACGCAGACATTACCACTGCTCGAAAGTAAAGAGACTATTTTAAAAAAGACCTCCGACTCAGCAATGAAAGTGGCATTGATTGATAGTGGCGGACCCAGAAAAAAGTTTGACTGGGAGCACCTTCAGCCATAGTTTTAAAAACCAAACCACCGTGTAAGGATTTGATCCCTAGACCTCCCAATCTCTATATCCACCTAACCACCACCTTAGCCAAAGTCCTCTTGTGTCGTATTTTTAATAAAGTGGAGATATATAATATATATCTTGATAAAAAAATTCTAAAATGATTTCTTTTCATAAAACATTAAAAAATATAATATTGTAATTATGATATAAACTTTTAACTATTCTGTATTCTACAAATACATACTACCTCCGTCCCTAAGTATTTGTCCAGATCATATTTGACTTTTTTTGGTCAACTGTTTTCAACGTTTAACCTTTTAAATAAAATATACATTGTATTTTATTTAAATAAAATAATATTTTGAAAATATTTGATATAACAAATCTAATATATCACTTAATTATTTTTATGTTTAACCACTGGTTCAACCAGTGAACCACTGAACCAGTACCTCGACCAGTTCGATCGCCGGTCCGGTTATGAAAAATATGCCTTCAGCAATTGGAGGTAAAAGGAAATAAAAGGGTCCAGACAGCGCTATTAAGAAAATCGGGGTTTGAGCCACGCTCTTCATTTGTTTTTATAAAACCAATGTAAAGTGAAAAAAAAGTCTAGTAAATTTCATGCTTAATTAGAAACATTCAAATAATTAATATTAATAATACCAAATAAGAAAAAAATTATGGAATGCATTAGTTTAATTATCATCTTAAATATTTCACTTATAGGCTCTATTCTTATTATCATTCTTAATTTTTACTTTCAAGCTTCATCCTTTTAGTTTTTTAATATTTCATTTAACCCAATTTTTAACACTACTAGACGGCCGCTAATGTATGAAATTAACCATTTCACAATATCAATTTCCAAAAGTTCCAATTTTATCTTAACATCACTTCACACACAAAAAAATATGCACAATATTGAAGGATGTCATAGTTGAAGGACGACATGGTGTTATAGACGCCAGTCAGTTTCTGGACTTTGAAGGATGTCGGAGTTGTTCCAAGCTTGACGAAAAGTTTGATTTTCGTCAAGCAGTTGGACGAACATGGCACATGGTGAAGTCTGGAAACGAGAAGTGAAAGGTCTTGAAGAGAAATCTTTTCATGGCATGCGGAAGCAAGAGAAGTTCGCTGTATGTGGTCAGGTTACCATCTGAGGGAGTGACCGTCTCAGTTCAGAAGAGAAACAAAGTCCGATTCATAGAGTCTTGGTAATTAGAGGTGGTGTAATCCGTTAACAGATTAGAGAAGTACATAAACACAGTTGAAACACAAGTGAACATTGTTCCATAACTTCAAGTGGGAGATTCTTGAATTTGAAGCCCAGAAATGTGTGTTTGGCTTTGTCAAAAGTGGTACAAGAAGAAATTGCTAGCTTTGCTTTATGGGTTGAGCTATAAGGATTGTGCTTAACTTTAATTATGACATCTCTTTTCTTTTCTCTGTTTAGGAGATGATGTCACGATGATATGTGCTTGTATTCTTGGGGCTGTGGGTGCTGCACATGGAAT